ACTGTAGGCAAATTACGGTAAATTATGCCTGTTTCGGTGGGTGACTTGCCTAACCAGTGGGTTGGAAGGACTTCCTTCTCCATCCTGTCATTTTAGCCCCCAAATGCCCTGATACGGCCGAGAGTGTAGAGAGTCAGCTCTCTCTCTCGAGATGCTCTCACATGGGCACGTGCATACAACCACTGCCAGGGAAGTTCTACTCACTACCTTCTCGCGGCGGGTTGTTGTTTACGAAATCGAGAAGACGAAAAGCGAAAGTCCGTCGCCTTAACCGGGTTGGTGGACACGAAAGGGTCCACCTAAGGGAGTTGGAAAACCCTGACTTCAAACCGACGGCGCACATGGGCTCGAGGATCCTGAGGGAACAAATGGAGTATGAACCTATTGTTGGTCACCGGCTACCATGGAACTGCATTTCCTTACGTTGCTCCACTGCATTGTGGATCAGACCTTTAGGTCGAAGGCTCCGGTGTGTGGCCCCCTAAGAAAACCACCTGCTTCAGTTTGGGCACCCGAGCAGTATACCAGCCCTCACACAAATCGAATGATTTATGTGGTGTATATGTATTCGGTACCCCTTTTGTACCAATGTTTATGTGTTTAAATGAATAATAAAATAAATAAAACTCTAAGTACCAATTATTTTACCCACCCATTATTACTGTTCTCTCTCCACAATAGTGTTTGTTCAGCTTAGTTTTCTTGTTTCATTTCGAGTGAAATTGAACTAAACATCGGAGTTCAGTTAATTGTTAATAAGAACTGACAGGGACTGATTTGAAAACTTAAGACCACTTTAAAAGCTGTATGGGTAGAGTACCTATTAAACTGTTTGTGTTTCTACATAATCCAACTTTTCTCTTATTTACAGTATTCCCCATTTGTCTCGTTGCATTTTATTTTGTGGATGAAAATGTTTTTAATCTTCATCATTCACTTAGTATATGTTGTTTTGGATTGAAAAAGTTTAGTCAGTTATCAATTCTGTATTTCCAATTGCGTCATTTAGTTAATTGTAAACATTCTTATTTTTCAGTCAATAGTAGTTGGAAACTGACAAGTATGTGTGATGAAATTTAAAGATATTTTTTTTTTCAATCAACTAAAGGACATTTTTTTAGCATTAACTTAGCTATATGTATAGTGGATGCTGGAGATTTGATTGTTCATACAGTCGATCCTTAGCCAGTGAAACTCATTAATGCAATCTGAGAAGATAATTTATGTTGATGTCGTTCATCTACTTATGTCTACGAGTGGTGATATTTATTACTCTTAACTCTACTTACCAGGTAAATATTTGTGCATTTAGCTTCGAGCCATACTTTGAGTATAAGAGCTAGTGATATTATATGGTTCCCCAAACTGAGTCATGTGTAGAGGGGTTGGAACCCTAACTACTAAGCCACTACTCCAACATTTATGTGATTGCTATTATTCATATCTACTTCTTAATGTTATTCCTCGTTTACTGTTTTGGTAGAATCTTCTCGTTATCTACAAGATTCTTGATGGTATATACCATGTTAAGTTAGTTACCTGTTTTAAATGCAATATCTTTGAGTTATAAATTTGTCAATATTATGTGGTCTGTCTTATCCTAATATGTCTGTAATCAAACTAGTATTTGTTCCTACTTATCTTCCTAAATCGCGTTTTTTTCTCAGTAGATAGAATGTATTTGACCGTTATTGTTTATCTGTAACATGGTGGCATAGTGTTTTCAGTTATCGTTGTAGACAGTTAGGTAGTGTTTCTAAGACAGCTTTTCCTCCACATTATGAATTCATAAACATTTGTTTCTTTTGCCCTAGAGAATTTAGTCTTTGTTCTTGTAGTTTCTGTTCTTTCTGCCAAATTTGTATGGGTGTTTTTTCTGTACTCATTTTTATCCTCATTGTTTAGTATGTTTTAAAAAAGTTAAGTACATCACTATGATTATTGCCTCATACACAGCTAAGTGATTACAAATAGGATCAGTAGTGTTTAAGGATAATAAAGAAAATAATCTACTGAAAAACTACTTGGATGTCCAGTCTAATTTTTTGCGTCATCAGATGATGTTCATGTGTATTCAAACTGTATCTGGTTTCACTTCATCACTAGTCCGAGAAAATCCATCCTTAAGACTTATTTACATGTTCAACTTTTGATCGGGTAACAACAATTTATTTATGCCTGAATGAGTATTTAATTCATCACTTCACAATCAGAGTAGTCATTACATTCATCTCCTTCGTATGGTGATTTCGGCTCATTTTCTTCGTTTCTTCTTGTATTACCAATCCCATTAAAATTACGCGATGTATCACACCTGAATAGTATGCTAACACATAGACTAGTATGAGATAATTTCAAAGTCAATCTGGACTATACAGTAGAGTAAAAAGCGCCACTAGTTTATGTCACTCATTTTCCGTACCAATAAATTAGTTGAATTATGTATTTGGTTTTTCAATTAATCTATTCTTGTGGATTCGGATATCCAGTATGTTGATTTTTTAAGCTACCATCTAGGTGTACTTTTCGACCAGATAAGCGGATTTGATTTATATCCAAATGTAATGCAAATAGAAATTTAAACGTTGAATAAATGAAGTATATTGTGATCATAGCGTTGGACTGATAACTGATATTCATTTAGCTAAAACCATAAAAATGAAACTTTATATCCTGTGTGTTACGTCGGAATATTGGTAGAAAGTGATCATGATGTTTGAATATTTTATCCTTTTGGGTAACACTTATATTTCAAGATTTCTCGTGGTTATATGATGAATACATTATATTATGCAATTTTTCACCCAAGAATTCCATTTTGTAATGCATTACTTTTCTCAAATATACATTGTTTCCTCACTTCTCTAACATTTTATCTCAATATATTTTCCTGCATATATATGTATGTGTAGATTCTTCAAGTCACATGATCTTTGATGTGTAGGTTTTTTTCTTTTGTCATTGAAATAATAATTTTGTCAATACGATCATTTTTCTTATCTAATTGATAATTTAACGATATTGTGAATGTACAAATGTACTTTAATTTAATTGTTGACCAGCTTATAAATGGAATTACTAATTAAAAATAGGTGAATACGAGATTGTTAAGTTCTTCTCTTTTTATTGTGTAACATTTTGTATTCACATTGTTTTTCAAATTGAAATTCCTTTGGATTATTGTTTATTTCACTTATCACTTCCAATATTTTCTGCAAAGTATAAATAGTAGCTCACGGTGTGGTGTTTATCGGGTTGTTATGAAACTGTATAATAATAATAATAGTAGTGATGTTCAGTTAACTTTTATGATTTGCTCAATTGTATAAAGCGGTTTGACTAATACAGTAGACCAACTTGCTAGCTTTCCATATTGGTTTTATTTGGTACATGTGTACGAATCGTTTTTTTTAAAACAACTTATCTCTGTGTGAAGATTTATGTTCAGAATAATTGTTCAAGGAATTGAAGCAATCTGATCATACGTTTCCTATTACATTTATTCTAAAATAATCTAGTTCGAGATATTTCCCTGTTAATTATTTGTATAACAGAAGTGTTATAAATAACGGATTGTACGTTTAGTGTTGGAGAAATTGATTGCCCTGTTAGTCATTGTGATAGATTGTCGTCAGTTTTTTTCATCTCACAAGATTGTTTGATTTTTTTAGCCAAATGAAACCTTGGAGTAGGATAATTGTATTATTATCCACTACTTATATACTTTGGGTATAACAGTTGTTGGATTGCTATTATGGCTTGTTGTAAAGACTGTTGGATTTACAGCTTCACATCAGGAAGCACTAGACACCTGTACACGAATGGATTAAAATGGATGCCAATTCCGTTATCCATAAGTTAATTGTTCGTCATGAGTCTTTAATATCCTGTATTTGGTCCCGAGTGAGGTCGTTGATTTACTCTTCTGAGAGATCCCTTATTAAGGTGAAATTGCTTCTCGGTGCTTCCTCATCTTTGATGATTATTTAACGAAGGCAGATCATGATATGAGACCTTTAGTTAGCCGAATATTTTCATACAAAATGATTCAGAGATTTATATTAATCTTTTTTCAAACTGTAATATCATGCCATTGATGTACTTCCGTAATATTTAATATTTCGTAAGATTAGAATCGTACGAAGTAGTATTGATTAAGATTTTAGCAGTCAATGCATATTTACTCTTAATGACTTCTTGATATGTTACATTTTATAAATTATTCAATACATATCTATAAATTTTTGGAGTTAGGTATGAAGACCGTGCAAGTTGAAGTTCCCTATTTGTTTTATTCACGAAAGTCTCATCTTATTTTTTTTGTATTTCATTATTGTGTTCAATATTTAGGGATTTGTTTGTTTGTTTATACTCTGTGTTTCTAACTGCTTTCTTTAGAAAATTAAATTGATGATTGGCACAAAAGACACTGTATAAATAACTACATAGTCTCTGGCATAATAATGTTTCACTGGTTATTTTTTGCATTGAGTGTGTGTGCATGTCTAAAAGATGTTCTATCATCGACAAGATTTTTTATTTCGGAAATGTTAGTCCTTGAAAAAATTTTTTCTTCAGGACGTCTTCATTTTTTTATATTGTGTGATATTCTGCTGTGTTCATGTTTAGTTGATTTCCTCCCTAGGGATTCTACTTCTTCATATTGTATCGTCATGCCCTTTTCAATTGAGGTTACTGTAGTAACAGCTATTGATATTATTGCAAACTCTTCTGCTGAATATCAATATTGATTATAAATATACTTGAATATTTGGTTGTCCGACAGGATAAATTCAGTTCTCTGTATATATTGCATCAGTTTCCTAGGTATGTATGTTAAAGGGAAACGAGCTGTTGTTGTTTAGTCATTAATAAATAATCTTTAGCAAAGCGATCGAAAGTCTTTCGATGATTACCAGGATCTTGTGTTTCCGTGTTTTTCGTGTTTGTGGAATAACTGTTTGCTCATTGATATTATCATCATATTATAATTATGACAGATCTAGTGCCGGAGGAGGTGATGGATTTTCCTTATCTTCAGTCAACTTCGCACAGTTGCATAAAAAACTTGAAGATCTAGAAGAGGAAAATAATCTACTACGTCAAGAGGTATGTATCAATGCTGTGGCTGAATGTTAACATTTATTTCATGGTATATTTAGGTTGCCCCAAGAAATATTGTTATTATTATGTTTTCCGTCCTAATACTGTGACTAGATAATGCCTACGTGGTTTACATCTATTTCTAACGGGTTGCTCTCTTTTGTAAAGCACTTATTTACAACTCTTCTTATGGCGACATTAACTATCCAGACAGCTCCAACTATCGAAATCCTCTTATATATACAGTTGAGTTATCCGGTAATTAACATTCAATAACCCTGACCTCGATTTTATCGTCCCGCCTTACTTCCTATGTGTATTCGTGGCATTAAATAAAGTGCGGTTTCCCCTTGAACACTGCTTCAACTTAATAGATACTATAGGCTGGGTTTGAGATTATTCTATGTGCCTCCAGAAGATTCTCGATCATTTCCTCTGTCGTTCCTTCCCCTTGTGAAGTGAGGAGGACTCGCTTGGATTTATCAACAAAACTCAACCTGGCCGTTCAATTGCGGGTGGTTGATCTCTTCCTCGCAGATGCAGACGTAAAGGTGAGTATTGACAAAGCAAGGGCCGCATTCCTTCAATTGAAGAACATATGGAACTCAAAACAACTTTCAACCAATATCAGAGTGAGAATCTTCAATACCAACATCAAGGCAGTTCTACTGTATGGAGCTGAAACTTGGAGAACTACAACAACCACCATCAAGAACGTACAAGTATTTATAAATAGCTGTCTTCGCAAGATACTAAACATCCATTGGTCGGATACCATCAGTAACTGTGGGAGAGAACAAACCAGCTTCCAGCTGAAGAGGAAATTCGGAAAAGACCATGGGAATAGATAGGACATACATTACGCGAATCGTCAAACTGCATCACGAGACAAGCCCTAACTTGGAATCGTGAAGGGAAGCGGAAAAGAGGAAGGTCGAAGAACACATTACGTCGGGAAATAGAAGCAGATATGAAAAGGATGAATAGGAACTAGAAGGAGCTGGAAAGGATTGCTTGGGACAGGGTTGGATGGAGAATGCTGGTGAGCGGCCTATGCTCCTTCACGAGGAGTAATAGGCGTCAGTAAGCAAATATTTATTATCAGTTAATCAATAATTTTCTAGGTGGATACATTTTCGGTATCAGACTGTTATATCTAGAGCTTAGGTTTTCGTTCTATACCGCGTACTACTTGAGCACTGAAAGGTAAGTGAGGGTACAGAAGACCATTGAGAAGGAATGTTATTCCAAACAGTGTAAAATATGGTACTAAACTCTCAGGTATTTATAGTTTTTATTAAAAGTGAGACTATCATTACAGTCATCCAATCTGGGTTCACTGGTTTTTAGCTTTTTCAAATGAGGAAGCTGCACGTCGAAATCCTGGAATGTTCTTTCCAAAGATGATTGGATGGAATATCCCCGGCTTTTTCTGAGCTTTCTAGAGTTCATCCGGGGGCTGTCCTCACACAGACTGATCGATTTTCATACTGACTTGATTTTGCTCTTTGGATCATGTTAAATCACTTTCCTCTCATGAAAATAGGCTCGACTGAAAGCATCGGAATCAGCTCACAGTACTTAATACATGAAAACTGTTTTGTTAGTAAATATGTTGGTTTATTTGTCTTACATTTTTCAGTTTCACTCCTGGCGGTTGATTATAGGACGGTAGAAAAAAAATCTTCATTTTGATTCATTTAGTTGAGCTTACCCCATGCTTCCCTAATTCGTGTATTACATACGGTATAAGCTATAAGAATACACATCAATAAACCTAATCTTTATTTGTCAAACTGTACAATCGTATAGAAAATTATTTTAAGTATTAGTTCCGTGAGGACAAATGAACAAAGACTAAAGATGACGATTTAATAGAAAGGTTATAATACTAGATTATGCAATATAGATAATAACAATAAAAGATGTTTACAAATACAAAGCCTTTTAAAACTAAACAATGAATTTTAATATGAATGAAGTAAGGTAATTAGAACATTTTGTTACGGTAATTTAAGGTAATAAAGGGGTTAGATTAAATGTAGTGATATCAGAAACAATTATGAAAGAAATCATGGGAATATGAGAAATAATTTGACAGTGAGGGAGATATTTTCAATTGTGAAATATTAATAATAATAATAAGTCACTTAGTATATTCGTAATATCCCAATGAGTAGAAAAATTAGATTTTCTGACGTTTCGTGACTCAGTGTAAGTCACTTCTTCAGAGAATAAGTAACCAAATATTAATAATAGTTTAAGGCCATCAAAATTTACCAGAGTGAATAAAGTAATCATACATATACTAGATAAGGAAAGGTTCTGATGTAACTTATTTATCCGTTTCATTCCTAGTGATGATATTATCAAAAGACGGTAAACACATGTATTTATTTTTCACAGGGAATTGGCTTTAAGTGTTTGAAGCACCCACTTTTAACCGGTAAGTTACACGTTCGATCCCATTTCCACTTCGATTTGACCAGCCGAGTTGTATCATTAATTCCCATATTCACAGTTTTGCGCAATGTCGTATACACGAACTCATACTTGAGGGAATAAATAAGTTACATTGATTTACCACGTTAATTATGTTCATAAATCGACTGCGCTTTTTTCAAATCTCCGGATCTATGTTTACAGCTGTTTATTTGACCTTAATATTTAAGTTTTGTTTTTTCCAACAAGATTGATTCAATTAATCGATTCATTCTATTGTTATTTAGCATGATCATCAATACTATTATTAAGTAATATGAGTTCTAATAAAACCTGTATTGTTATTTGTAGCGTAATCGATTGTCTACTACGGCGGACCAATTAGATGAACATGAAGCTGCATTAGTTCGAGATTGTGCACGTCAATTAATTACTGCTAATATACATATACGTAATTTATCCGATGAGTTGGCTAAGAAGTCTGATGCTTTCATGAATCAACAATCTGAAATTACTCGCCTACTTACAAGAGGTTTAGATTTAGAAAATCGTGTTAAACAGGTAAACTATATTATTATTATTGATATGCTGAAGATTAACCTCAAATATTATTGATATGTCTTCTGGATTGAACACTAATTTTCATGACTGGTGGTCGACTTTTATGACTGCATCATCACTAATATGCATTCTTTTTGAACGCCAGATCGGGCTACTAAGCTCTGCTAATAACACCGAAACACGACGACGACGTTATTCGAAAATACACTCATTTATATATTGATTCATACACATGAAAAATACTTACAGTTATAACAAATCATATGCTGAGTTCAAGAATATCGTACAGAATAAAGTATCATATGAGAAAACAAAACATATACTATACTGAGTAATCACCACATTAAATTAAAACGAAAGTAATGTTAAATAAAGATCATAATGAGTAAATCAATCGAATTTTGACTTTTCTTTTCGTCATATCAATTATTATTATTATTAAACTGTAAAAGATTGATCAATAAAGGATATTTGTGACACTGTAAAAGTAGAATTTACCCAATTGTTAGATTTGTAAAAATAAAGTTTTTGACCTACCACCTTTGTGAAAAAGTTTACCTTTTCCTTGAAAATGGATTTTATTTCTCGGTCTCCAACATCTTCAATCAAGGTGATCTCGAGTGTTGTTAGAGGGATGAGAAGGGTTTTCACTCCTTGCTTCCTTTCTCCGTGGAACGATACCGCTTCCTAAAGGGCCTGAAAAAGAAACTGGGCTGGAAGTAATCTTGATTACCTAGTCCTAACGCATTTCAGTCGACGTGTTTCGTGTGGCAGGACCCAAAAAAGACGAGTCTTCCACCTAATATTACTTGATTGAGTCATCAAGATATGGAAAATTGTCCAATACATCAAGTTAACGGCTACTATCGGGCTAAAGTTTAACGGACCAAGTGGTCGCTGTTTTAAATCTTGCCAGAACTTTGTCTTCGAACACCGATCACTATCCGTAATCCCAAAGAATTGTTTTATCAACTAACTCTTGCTTGCTACAGGCTGATTGCAAATACTAATATTTGGTGAGCCTATGATTGGAATTCTGGGCACACCGTTTTGTCTGGAACCTATCAGCTGGATATACCTGCTTTCCAGTGTTACTATTCGCACTTTTCACTTTACGTCCTGGGTTACACTGCTAACCACATACCAAATATAATTTTGACATAGCTCTGTTTTAAGTTAATCTGAATAAGAATGTTGATATTAATCAAATAAATATTGACAATTAGTATTTACTTGACAGTTCGTTGTATTTAAGGTTAATCCATATTGTGGTTAGAATTACTGAATTTCAGTGTTAAACGAATGTTTCCCAACGATACCAATCAGCTTCACATCAGATGAATATCTATAGTAGATTAAAAATTAATTATTTTTTGTAAAAGATAATGACAACAACTCTCATATTGTAATTTTTATTGGTTCAAAAAAATTTTAATTCTCTATTTCGAGATAAACCGTAGTTACGTCCTACTGATTCGAAATCTTGACAATTTATTCATGTAGGAGTTCTGTATATTCAGCATGTATTTACTTAATATTTAAACTCTTTCACCAAGCATCGTTATATTGTATGATACAGTCATTTCCAAGCTTCGTAATATCCATCTGCCAAATTCTATGGAAAATAATACTCTGCTTAAATTAAATATCACAACTTATCCTACTTACAGTGTTATCTATGGACTTTATTATTATTATTATTATTATTATTATTATTATTATTATTATTATTATTATTATTATTATTATTATTATTGATTTAATTTTATTCCTTATGCTCGTTTAATTCGTATTCTAATTGTTGAGAATTACATCTCTCCCTTTTTCTGTTTTACTATCTAATTTAGTTGACAGCAGAAAATGAAATGTTAATTGGTCGGCTGAAGGAAACACAAATATCGCAATCATTACTGACAAGTGAATTAAAAAATTCACGTGATAAATATGATGAGTGCCTAACACTTTATAATGAAGCTAGGGTAATCACTGTTATTTATAATAATAATTCTAACCATGTTAAAACTGTTGGTGTTATTTATTTATTTTTATTGATATTAAACACTGGCAGTTGGGTCGAAGGAGTACTGGACAACTGCTTTGTTTATATTTATAAGAAAATGTTAGTAGTGTTCCCTTATTGCTTATTCCCATTTTTGGTGTATGTAGCTCTTGTAACAGGCATCTTTGGGGAAATATCTTTGATTGCTTCGATGTAGTAATGTAACACGACTACCGATTATTTGACCCTGTTACCTCTCATGGTACATAGACCGCTGATCAGGGATCACCAATCAAATTTATCCTCGTCTCTTCTTTCCAGATATCACCAACTGGTATTCATAGTCATGCTGTATGCTTTCAACTACCGGCACCATTTGTTATTTGGTCTATCTTGTCTTGCCTTGAGAACCTCAAGTGGGAGCCTGCTTTGTGATACGGTTCGATGGTTTCCTTAAGTCGTGACAGATCCACCTCCAGAGTCTTTCCCTGATTTCCTCCTAAGCTGGCATCTGGTTGGTTCTGTGCCACAGTGGGTCATTGCGGATGGTAGTTAATGTAAGCAGTTAACATAGATTGCCGATCAGAGGTCTCTAAATAGCTATTTGTGAATACTTGTAATGTTTTGGTGATGTTAGTGGGGGGTTTTCGAGGTTTCAGCTCCATACAATGAACTGTTTTGACATTAGTGAAAACAGACTTTCTTGTCGAGTAACGGTTGTTTTGAGTCCGTGGTGTTTATCAGTTGTAGTAATGGATACCGTTGTCCTGTCAATGAGTACCTTCACATCTGTATCAAATCTGTATCTTAGTTTGTGGATGATGGTGTTGAGGTTTGTGAATAATTGCATGTATTGCAGAGGAGAGCTTCAGTAGCGAGTGTGACTTTATTGGTTCTAGGTTGTGTGCTTTTTGTGATTGTGTGTTTTGCCTTGTTTGTGTTGAGCCCTATTTTTGTGGAATCGGTTGCTGCACTGATTGCCTTCGTTTGCATTTATTGCTGTGTATGTGTGTGTTTTAATATCAGTGATGGGTTCTTATTTGTTCTTGACTGGTTTCTTATTTTTCTCTGCTCGTTTCTTAGTTGAGCTATGTAGTTCCTCACATTTCTTCCTCTTTCAGCTTTTCTTGCTTTCATTGTAAGTTGTTTCACACATTTTTGTTTATCAGCTCTACTTCTCCTCTTCATTCTTTCGTTTGCTTCTGTATATTATTCTGTGGATGCCTTTAATTCCTCGGCTTTTGTCTGGCTGTTGTTCATTTCTGTCTTCCTGTTTTCCGTTGTAGAATCTTTTTCAAGGTATATATGGAGATCCCTTCTTTATGTTGGTGCCTTTTACAGCCTATTATCTCTTGACACTTTGAATTTATACCTGTAAAACTTATATATCTTTTTGTATGCACGTATGAGGGAAAATTCTCCTACCTATGTCCATGTTATTAAAAGCATATAGATCTGTCAGTCTCTCATCATTCTCCTTCCTTTCTCTCAGTCCATGTCGTCCTATGATGTCTTCACACCTGGTATTGTCAATCCCAACTGTAGTGTTCAGGTTCTTCATCAGGATTGTCAGGCTTTTACCCTGGGAGTTTTTTAAAGATGTACTGTAGACCCCCATAAAGTTGATGTCATCTTTGCCGCTTTCGTTGGTGGGTGCATAACACTGGATGATATTTATTGTAATTCATTTCTTTGTTTTGGAGGATACTTTGATTATTTTGGGGGCATTTCTGCCTCCCTTGGAGAGCATCAGTTCAACTCCTTGTGTATGTGGGGAATTCGCTTCATGAAGAAATTCAGCAACATTTCTCTTAAAGTTAGTTTTTTTTTCTGTACAGATTATGTTCAATGGGCTGCACTCATTGAAAGCATAGCCAGGTTTTGTCTTCTCATTTCCACTGCTATTTAAATGACCCTCTCAGCCTCTCACAATGTTTGGACAATCTGCGTATCTATATTTAATTTTACTCTGGTTGTCAGAGGGGGCATCAACCCCGTGACTTTCAACGAACCTTGGCTTCTATCTTGAGCCTTTATAATTTCTTTTACGAAGATCCGTTAACTCTTAGGTTCGTGTAATAATACTCAAATCATTCAGTTATTTAATAGTGTTTCGAATAAGTGTACTATTATTTAAGGCGTAAGTTTCACACAAAAGGTTTTCACATTTGGTTATACGGTTGTAAGCGGTTTCTACATAAAACGATATTATTATAAGGACAAATGGTAGGATTTTGTTGAATTTTTTCCATGAATACGTTTCAAAATGTTCGAGTAGTCAATTTTAATTTTCTCGGCATCATGGGACCGTATTATGAACTTCCCGATCTTATATTCAGTTTTCTTATACATTAAAAGTATTTGCCTGATGTAATTTCGTTCTGGGAGGCTTGTTTATTCATGTATATTTTTGAAGATCCTAATCATACATACTACCTTTCATTCTTGTACAGATCAGAATTCGATTTTCATTAAGCTCACTGTATCACTGAATATTGATCCGAACTTTCTGTCCAATGAATTTATTTCCTGTCTTACCTCTGATTGGTTTAGATAATAGGACGCGTAGTTTAAATCAGTGTTACCTACTGTTGTTGCCCAGTTAGTTGTGTAATTTCCTCACAGTAATTAATGGTATATCTATTTAAGTAAGTGAATTTTGATACTTAAGAAGGTGTACTTCAATGAAACACTGGTGAAAGAAATACAAATTAAAAGTACAAGGAGGACCTTTTTTAAAAGAGAAATCTCGTTTTGTCATATTTGTTCTGATTAAATTATGCCAAAATTTATACATGACACTATTATTCCACATATGAAATATTGCTTAAACTTAAAACACATTCTTTCGAGATTTTTTGTTTATTTTTTCATACAATTCTATTTTTAAAAGGATAATTTCGTGTTCATTATTCAGTTGTCAATAATAATATTGGTATGTTTACCATTGTTAAAAGAAATCTAGATTCATTGACATAAAGTGAGTGTATCGATGAAGAAATAAATGCTGGCAAGGAAGAGAAAGTTGCAAAAACTCATTAAAATAGGATAGCTTTCAGTGTCTGGTACTATGTCAAGTCCACTTGGGTTATTCTAGCTTTTGTACAGACCTATTTATCTATTCTTTTTCAGCGATATTTTGACCTTATTTTAGTAATTAACCCTGACTTTTTTCATACGAACGTATGTATGTGTATAGTTTGCCTACTCATCACATGTCTGTAACTTATTCCACCTGACTATAAATTCACCCTTGATCAAAATGAGATGGCTCACTCGCCACCTCCAATCCGCTTCACTTTTCCGTTTCCTATTCTCAATATCTGTCTAGACAAAAGAATTCTTGAAATAAATTCCTCTAACGCAACATTTATTTGGCTTCTTAGTACCACCGTCACACAAACGTGGTTAGTCCAAGTAATATACGTAATTAAATGGACGATTTCTGTCCATACCATGTTCATACGTCCATCCAAATCGGAGTCAGATCAGTGGGCTACAAAAAGCTATTCCTTGGTGAATGAGTTTTTCCTATTTTTAGTATCTATTAGACAGTTGGTTCACTGGTTCATTTGTCGGAAATCTTGTTTGTAAGTCACCATCTCAGACACATTGGTCATTTTATTATCTCTTAATGCTCTTAAACTATAGTTTAATGGAACTATAGGTATGTTACTCATCTTCATGTCAAAATATCCTAGTTCCATGCTTGCTGAGATTTGTTATATGTGGTGCGTTGTAATCGTATATTTCAATTATATGATTACGTGAGTCATGAGTTTAAATAATGGAAGTATTTATGACCACTCATCTGGCTTTCCGATCTCTCGATTGGAGGTGTTAGAACATAGTTTATCGATCGCACTACAAATACATTGATATTTATAGGATTATTATTACTTGTGTAGGCGAAAACATAACTGAAAAACGACCGGTAGGCTCTGCTTATGGTTTTGCCTTTATATTCTACATATCAGAGAACTAGTAATAGTTTCGATTTCGGTGTTGAGTCACTTTGTTTAGACTCTTTGAAAAGCATAAGCTTTTTCAAAATTTCAAACAAATTTTTCTAGTGATAAGCATTAACTTATATGAAATGTGTATACTTAACTATATCACGTTTACTACCCTAACTTGGTTATAAATTGTTTTTGAGAATTGAGACATAGGTCCTTTTTATATTTTCGTCAAGATACACGAATTAATACTTTAAAGTCTTCAGTGATATTATGCAGACGTATATACTTGTAAATTCTAAACACGTCTGTGTAGCTTTCGTGGACTCACCTATTTTCGGCGTATTTCATCATACAAATCTCATTGATCCCTTCTTTGGATCATAAGTGTATCATTTCAATCTTTGTGTTATTGCTTACAAACTTGTGAACTAGACTATTAAATTAACCTTAATGACTAGACTAGGGATGAGATGTTGTTTATGACAACGAACATAGGAGCTAGTGATAATGTTCAATCCAAATATAATTACAGAAAATTAAATTCAATTGCTTATGAGTGAATCATGCCAGCAAATTCAAAATATTTATCTTTACAATACAATACTTTTCTCGTTTTAGTCGGAAATTCGGGCCTTACGTAAACGTTCTCGTCGTGGTTATTATCGTCCTAATTCACTTATGTCCAGTAGTTCTGTAGTGAACAGTGCAGTATTACCCTCACTACCACCTTATTTAAGTGGAGCCGCTTTAACACCACAGTCAGATCCGGATCCTATGCATTACTGTCATCATTCGTCATTATCTGCTCATCAGCTAGCCAGTGATGGCAGTACATCTTCTCTGGATATGTTGACTACACAAAATCCAAGTTCAGATCATGTGGAAACTTCATTAGCAGCAGATTTGGTACATGCAAGAATGAAAGAACATGCGAAAGATAATATGTATGTTTTTTGATTAACATCAAACTCTAACAAACTATTATTGTAACTTTCAACTGTTATCCGACTGTATAATTTAACAGTCTTTCTTGATCTATTGTTTAGATGAACTAGTGAGTTATGTAATGATTTTAAAACTAAAATGCCCGTCATTTGAATTAATCACGATGTTCTACAAAGTTTTTCGACCCAGCAACGCTATATAACCGTTGTTGAGAGATATACCACGTTCGTTGTTATGTGTTTTACAGGAATAACTGATAGAAATAATAGCCTACAAATTTTTGTCATTTACCTTTAGAGGTTTGAAAATAATTCCGGTTCATATTAATGCCAGGTTATTTAACTCGATGATTTACTCTGATCTGTCCGTTGTAACACCAATTATTGTGAAATCTATTATAGTGCTGGTGTTCATCATTTGATTTTTCATGCAGTAAATCTGCTTCAATCAATTAGTCACAAATATTTCTAGTTACCGCCCTGAATTTTGTGTTATTAATCTGTAATTCAGTTCTGTTCGGGTCGCAAATACTACACTACGTTCTAGTTGTGAATAGTCTTTGAAGACATTTTATTTGAAGTTATTCCATTCCTGTTTACATTGTCTGTTTAATGTGTAGTTAAATTCAATTTTCTCACTCCACTTTAGAAAGCATTTATTTCGAGCAATGGATCAAGTTCGTCATACGCGTACACTCAGTAATGGTCCTACTCCTACTCCTACTGCTACTACCACAATTAATTCTAATAATGACGATAACAGTAGCCATAATATTATACTGATTGAATCAGGTCTGGAAGATACTGTTTCTAGCAGTGGTTTTGTTAGTGGTTCAGGTAATTTTTTTAAAACTATCTAATCACTTCATCTTTGTATTCGTGGTGAAACTATAATTTATGGACGACCTTTGAGCAACGCTAAAATAACCTTGAAAATGTCAAGGACTAAATGAGGATTATAAAGCAGCGTGAGGAATTAGATGTAGGGTTTTCATAACGAACTGACATTAACTATAATACCGAAATATTATTTATGAGTGGATGAATTTCGCGCTAAAATCCAAGTCCTGTTATCTCAAATTTGATTAGTTCGTCCATAAATTATAGTCTCACCGTATTCGTTTTTATTTTTATGTTAAGTACATATGATATGGGCATATGTTACCAAGATGTTCATGGTTTTGTTCCAATACAAGCAGTTGGTAGATCTCCAGGACGTTCAGTTTAGTTCTTGTTAATACTTTTAGTCTACGTTTGTTTACCTTATCTACATGTTTTTTTCTGAACTTTCCTTTCTTCTTTAATCTAACAATATTACTGTATTATGGATTGTGAATAAGTCTATTTTTAATTGGGAAATAATCAAATTTGAAAATAGGTAGTCTACTATGTACTTATATGTGAAGAAGAACAACGTAAACTATCGGTCAGTAAACTTAATGAATAATTACAATTACTTCATTGTTTGTTCCATTTTGTATGTATGATTCGTAAATTTTCACATTTATCATAATAACTGATTAGTCGGAGCGTAATTGATGTTTCATATATACTCTTCTATAGTTGTAGGGTTAAAATTTTTAGAAAAAAGTAGAAAAAAATGGTTAATAGGTTTGCGTTTACTTTCTCTTAAAATAAAAATTAATAATTTATACTCTGAATAATATTCATAAGAAATTCTGTTTTATGTAATTGTCTTTGGGATTATAATTTCTATGTACTTGAATCTTGAGAATTAAACTGACTTCGCAAGAAACATGATCTAAAATGTTGAAGTATTGTATTCTCGGGAAAATTATGTATAATGTGATAAACACTTTAGCTTATCTACTAACGTATACGCTTGCAATATTTGACCAACCCAACTAAACAAAGGTCACATAAACTTCATTTACCAAACAACAATGCTTACAGCTCTTGCTTATATATATATATATATATATATATAGAGAGAGAGAGAGAGAGAGAGAGAGAGAGAGAAAGAGAAAGAAAGATCAACATAGTGTGCATATGTACGATACACTTTGATCAGCTGACAAATCATTTGTTCATCGTGTCTAGTTCATGCTTTCATTTGATCTTTCATATAATCTTGACACATCATGTAACTCACTAAATCCTATTTAATCTACATGTAATACTCTTACTTAACATAATGGCTGCACTTTTTATGTCGAATCTTCATTACTCATTTTTTAAAATACTAGATAGACGTGTAGGTGAATGATTCTTTATTGACTGTATCAGAAATTACTCTATCATTTTCTAAAATGCATTTGTTTAAATATGTGAATTAAGTTAGTACATTAGTGCATATACTTTTTATGTTAAACTGTCTTTTTTTTTCTAGAACCGTCAGATAATCCTCACAAGCAAAAATTTGTTAAAAGTGAACAAACGTCTAATTCTGGAAGTCCGTATTCAACTAGACCATTTATCCCAAATTTTATCAGTCCTATTCACTTGGCTGATGCTGACAGAAGGTATATATATATATATATACTTCGTGTGGTATATAGCAACTCTGTTTATGGATATATCAAACGTTCCTTCATCTTCATAGTGTAAATCATTCATCAATATTCGGCCACTTGAGAACCAGGAAGCACTGAATAACTGTTTCATCCTAGTGTCGGACTCCTCAACGCCACTCATCCACGACCCCATCAGAGATCGGACTCAAAACCTTCGGTTTTGTAAGTGAATGCATAACATCCAGACCGCAGACGGGATCCAATGGCGCTTGTATTTAACTGTAATCGATTCGCGACGGACTGGACAGCTTCCCAGTGCTTCCTGGTTTTTAATAATGGTCTACTAAGATCAGTCTGGAGGTTTAATAATCTCCACAAGACCCTTGTACCAATACTTTCATCTAATGCGTTTTCTATTTAATAAATGTAGTAATGTTAAAATTAATCAACCGTGGTAAAATTGTATCACAGTTGCGTCTAAATTTTCATCTTCATCTGAATACTGTCTTCATTTTTATTCTGACTGTCAACCTAATCATAAGGCTGTTGACTGTTCTTTGAACCCCCTTTTTCTGTTTTCGTTACAATAGTATATGCTTGATTAAGTGTAACGTGGCGTCTAAATCCGACTATCTATTTTCTATATGGCGATTATTTTTCGGCGTTGTTTTTGTTTAAGTAAGCTAAAAGTGGTCAAACGGAGGAATGCTTTTTGCCTCAGTTTGCATCAGTGATTAATTATTATTGAAAAAGCTAGATATTTATTTGTTGATATAGATTTCTTGAATTTCTGTCTCTTATCAATCGATAAGTGATGCGTATCGCAGAAATATTTATAGACTTTATTGGTCGTCATATTTGTTATCGTGGTGTATGATACATCGTGTAGATGGATAAATAGGTGTATAGCCTCATTGGTCATTATATGACGACCTCAATCATCTCAGTATTTTACTTGACGTTCTCTTTGTCACTGTAAGTGATCAAGATGATCGTTCTCTTTCTAATTATTTTGTTTAGAAATTCTCATCCAAATTTACGTTTGTCATTTTAATTATTGATAATTCATTATTTCTGATGGCTGTAGTTCGTTCCCAATTTTTCTAACGTTCTCAATAGTAGCTTTTTGTAGTATTATTTCTGCTGAGTTATATTTTAAGTCGTGATTATTACCAAATTGCACAGTTTTGAATACAATTTCTCAATAGTGAGGGTTGTATATCTAAACCAATAAATATAAAACCAAACCACATCCACTTGTCCTACAACAACATCTTGCTAAGAATACCAACTAATTTTGTTGTATTACGTATGAAATGTCAATTTATCAACCACTTTATGTACTTACTTTGTATCTTTGCTAAGTATACATATATTTCTCGCGCTCTCTATCTACCTTTTAGTAAATCTAATGTGGTAAATTATCGCCTTCATCAATCTACAAATCCGAATTATTTACTAGAGTCTGAAAAACGACATAGTTGGCTTGGTTGTGACGTAACTTCTAATTTATCTGACAAAGGATGTTATTCAATTCCTGATAGTGGACTGAATTTTCAAAACAGCTTTGATGATAGTCTACTTTCATGTGATCCAAATGTGGTCTGCACTAGTAAATCATATTGCAAGTAAGTTTGTAGAGTCAATTGTGTTAAACATTATACTCTATTGAATGAAATCTGATTAATTACTATCTTTCTCCATGTTAATTGAAATTAAATAATTATTGATTGCTATTAAAGGAAACTGGACTCTCAAGTTATTTTTCGTCGGTTTATGAGCTGTTTGTAATTTTCTAGCATCTTCTTATACTCTTCAGTTGTCATTTGGAAATTACGTAGATTAGTTTTTAGCAACACGGTGCTTACCATATGCATTATTTGGGGTAGCTTGATAGATGTCATAATGGTAGTAATACATTGGTTTAAATTCAGATTTTTTTAAACAACACTAAAGAATACAGAATAATAAAAATTCCCCAATTACAAAAATGTTTCCCCACTAATTCTAGGTAAATTTCTTTTACATCCATGGAAAACTGGTTTAGTATTAAAGACGTACAACTCAAATAATAAGCCTGAAGTTTTATCCTCACGGCGCTCACCTCGGTTGGGGCAGATGATCGATATAAGTAGCCACAACATCTTAAGTTCAACTAGAGGTTTGGTATACAAATCTGTTTGTTAGGTTATGTTTATTTATCTACATTCAATTATCATTTATAACAACAATAGTTAAAGTGTTTACCATTGTATGGAATGTATATTCTTTATTATTATTATTATTTAGACTGCCTCAACGTTTGAAGCTGATTAAACCATTAGACGGTTCTAATGTTCTTCAACATTGGCAGCATTTAGCTACTCCTAGTTTTACCCGGGCACTTTTTGAAGCCCCACTACCTGGAGTTCGAAGTCGTGCTGGAGTATCAGATTCAACCAACACAAACTGTCCGACAAGTGCTAACACGACCGACTCTCGACAACGTCCTGTTTCAGTCGGATCATCACCTTGTATTTCAACCAGTTCTGAAATTTCGCTCAAATGCAGTAGTTTGACTGCTCATTCGCCTCCGGATTTGCCACAAGGTAATCCTCCCTCTACTTTATAATAAATAATAATCATTATTATCATTACTATTGTAAAATATCTAGGCACTGTCTATGGACAAACATTGCTTCACACTAATAATGACTTATCTATAGAATGTGTAACCCGAATAAAAATGAATCTTACCTTGTATTATACACGTAGGCGGTTTAACGAAGTACAATGCAAATTTCACATTTTTAAACAAAATCTTTCATGCGACCACTTGTATATTTTTTATTAGAAATACAATTATAATTTGTTGTAGCTCAATGCTAGTTACAAATCTAGTCATTTTTATATGTGCACATGCCCTCACATGATTCGAAAACATTCTCTGCAAATAGACGATTCTTAATTGACGTATAATAATTTCTAAGAGTTGATACTTGAGTATGTAGACTGTTAAAGGTACATTGATATTATCAGCATTAAGACATTCTTGTTTTTTCTAATGAGAAAACAGATTTTTTAGAGATCATATGTACATAAAATGTTCTTGAATATTGAAGTAAAGAACACAGTTGAAGTGGTTCATTGTTTTTATCTATATGTTTTTTGATTTTCTGATCGATTCAACATTATCGTGTGTTTTTTCTTGAACATTTCATGCATATACAACAGGTCAACCAAGTATGAGATTTGTTCAAGAATCGTTAGAGAAATGTACTAATTTAAAGTAAGTTAATTAACTTTCTTGATTGATATACCTGTAGAATAAATAAATCATAATGTATTCTATTTAATCAAATTTATGTATACATTGATACATCCAAAAATTACCGATTAGAGAATGTGTTATATAGTGTACATTAATATTATTGAATTACCTGGCATATGTGATAATTATGTGCTGGATGCTACTTATATTGACAGATATAAATAGTATGTATCACCAGTCAGAAATGGAATGCCTATCAAAAGAGGATTGCGAAGACTGAACTAAAGAAAACAGAAAGGAATGTACTACAATTTAGAAAAGTTTTGTTTCTAATTGATAGTAGTTATTATCGTCATGTACAGACGCTTATTGTATATTCTAAGTTTTGTTATGATCTACAAAAGTATAGGAGTACTTGATATGAAAGCAATAGAAATTGACAATAGGTCAATCATAAATCATATTCAAGTTTTAATTCTTTTAAGCACACGTTGTCGATGAGTTACTATAGTTGTAGGCTTCTCTATATAATCTTTTTTTCCATAAAACCTTAAAGAAACGCTGAAATTAATATTAAGTTTGTTGTTATTTGGTGTTATATCATTCTGCTTGAAATCTTTTGTACACTATACTAGCTGTTGTTGATAGACATATTCGAACTCTGTCAAATTACTTTATAGAATATTAATCTACTATTTCATAAGTTTTTTTGTGAACCACACAATCAACCGTGAATCATAAGCTGACAGGATTACACGTTCTATCGATCTACTTGAGCTCGGTAAAATTAAAACAATCATATGCATGACCGTGATAGCCCTCAGTGTATGCTACATGATCTTGTAGGTATGAATAACTCAATTTTTTAATTTTCTGATCGTAGATTCTACGACAATTTTGGATAATGTCAATCCAATGTTACCGCGTAACAATGAATAAACTTATTAAGAATTGCTATTCAATACACTTGATATCTTAATAAGTATCATCTGTTCCTGATGGTATCGCATGCGTTTTATGTGCACTAGACACTCAAGAAATAGATCGATATCTTGTTCATAATTCATGAATTATTTAATTCCTATCATAAACCTTTTACAAACTTTCACTAGGTTTTAACTAGATCTAAACATGTAAAACAACTAAGTGTATTTTCTGTATGCTTATTTTTACACTTGGGATTCCTGACTGAATTCGCTTTACTATTTATCGCATATTCATAACTCTGAAATACTTACAAATGACTGATCACTGAATAGTGATCGAATTCTGTTGAAGAAATTACAAAAAAGCCAGTAGTCTAAGTGGTTTAACATTATTTAATCAGCAGGAAATCATGGTTTTAGGTTGTCTGCTAGTTTGCACTTATCAATAAACCTTACCTGTAAGTTTGAAGGAATTGAATAGTACCAACTATCATAAAATCTATTTCAAATAAGCTGTACTGGCAACTACCTCAAATCACTTAATGTGAAATATTTAAATAGCAATTCTTTAACCTTTTTATTTTAAATGCTGTTATATATATATATATATATATATATATATATATATATATATATAAAACTCAACAGTAGGAAATATTCACTTAGTTGTACATTCTTTTCTTTAATTGTTTTTTTTTCAAAACTAGCTGTATTTATCAACCATTAAAAATCTTATAGTAGGTTGTTTCATTTAATTGTACCGTCAAACAATAATAATAATAATAATAATATTAATCGATGCATTTAATTTATTGTTTTAAAAAGAGCATTTCACATATAATTATTATCTTTCCCATTCAAATTTGTTGGTTTACTGTAGGATTTAGTATATTTTTATTTGTTTGTCCATTTAACTGTTGTGCATCATTTATGTTTATGTGGTATTTGTATGAACTAATGATATCCTGGTACTTGATTCCTCACTTATTACGAATTCCAAATACAACATGTTATTTGTGCTCATCTAGTTCTACCCGGCTTGATTTGCACTATTTTGGGGAGTCTTAGTACATTAATTCGGATACTTCTAATTATCATAGTTTATCACATACAAATAAGTGTTTTAGTTTAACTCAGTAGATATATGTTAATATAACTGTATTGGACTACTGATTGTGAGTTACTTTTTTTTATTAATGTACCTAAAATTATAGAGTTAGGCGTACCGTCGTTTATTTTTATTTGTTTTGTTTTTTCTGAGAAAAAAGTTGGTGTATGTGTTTGTGTGGAGTAGTAGATTGCACTGAATTACTGCTTCTATTAAGTCTACTAGTTTTTCCTGTTATTGGTTACACGTATAGTTGTTCTGTATTCAACTGTTTCAATAAGCTTATTTATAGTTGTAATATTTTAAAACTTAGATAAGTATTTGTGAATGTAACCATGTGATCAATGAACTTTTCTCAACACGACATTGTAATATAAGGTTATTTAATTAGTAGAATATTGTGTAATATACCTACAAAGCAATTATTGAATTAATTATTATTATCAGTTTAATATTTTAATTATTCATTGAACAGATAACTAGATAGACTGACATAAGACGCGCGATGATGGCTGATTTAGGAGGTTAGAATAAAGGTTAGGAACAGCCAAACTAAGACATCGGGCCAGTTCACGAGAAGAATGACTGTTGGATTGAGCCATGTAGGTAGGCGGAGACTATCTGATTGGGATCCTCGTGGTCATCGAGACTAATGGTTAGAGATTTTATGTGATATTGCTCAAAATCATTCGTAATGGCGTAAGTACATTCACGCTTCTTATTCCCTTGGATCCTTAGCCTCTAAATTCCTCATGATTTATTATTACAGCAGTTTATATTTCTTCAAATTGTATCTTCGATACCTAATCCTTTTTATTACCACTAATACCGTTACTACCGCTATTATTCTGAGATATACTTTGACAATTTAGTCTTACTGTACTCATGGGGTGTGGCAAATTGAATTGATGTACACATGTAGCAAATTCTACTTTGCGTCGGACTAACATAAGAAATAGTGAATTAAAAAGAGATCACACTAATTGAAAGAACACTGTAAATGCAAAATTAGATAAAAATATCTCTCATCTATGGGTTGTGACATCCACTGGAGAATTATTCAGAATAAAGGAATTCTGAGCAAATGTTTCACACTTATAATATCATATTCAAGATTATGAATCTAAGGTCTTCCTATTTCATGATAAGTGCGATATAAGAACAAAAGAAGTACCGGCTATTCAGTGTTGCTTGATTTTCAACGAATCTTCACCTACTAAAACACTTCAAATTGCGAACTAACTAATCACTCAAATAAATTATGCTGTTCAATAAATTTCTGCATGAAAGATTATTGTACCATATTTCAGGTTGTTTTACTTCAGTAGTAATAATAAAACAGTTTTAGTGGTAGTTCGTACATCTAGTCCATTCTTACTCAGTGTTTAGCATATAATTGGACTGAAGTAGATCAAGTATTAGGATAATAGTAATTATAATTCATCAAAAATAATACACTAATGTCATTAACGAGGGAATTGTAACATTTTACTATAAGATGTAAATAATATGTAAGTAATTTTGGTGAAAGTGGTTTTGATATATGATTGCTTTCTCATGTCATCAATTTGAAGACATTTTTAACTGGTTATCCATAGTTTCTTCTATTATCTTGTACAAAGAGAGCGAAAAAAGTATGAGTTGAATAAGATTATTCTGTTGATTTCTTTAGGTTCTTTTCAGCTGCTTACAGTTTATAATATTTGAAAGTCGAAATTACAAATGTTACCGATGTATCTTAAACTATTTACACCATGAAATTTTTTTCAACTCTTTCTATTGACTACATGATCATAATAAGTTGAAAAAAAATTCGGTGAATTGAGATGAATCCATGTCATTCTGCTCAAATCTCTTTTCTCCCTTTCTGTTTCTAGCATTAAGGATTTCTTATTATTTAACTAGACTCCAATTCTCAAGAGCTTACAGTTTACTCGTTGAGATGCAACTCATTGGTTTACATGTTCGGTTCGCCCTATACCTGTTTTCGTTTAGGGAGCTGGTTGGTATCACCAGTCCACTTGTAAAGCTTATCACAATGAAACTGGAGTACACCTATCTGAACTTATAAATAAAAATAATATATTTGTAATATCCCAATGAGTAGAAAATTGGATTTTTTGACGTTTCGTGACTTCGTGTAAGTCACTTCTTCAGAGAATAAGTCTGAACTTAGTTTGTTGGGCTTGCATAGTGATTGAACATGTTAGCACACACATATTGAGGCTGTGTTCACTGACTAAATGAATTTATGTTGTGCAACTGAGCGCTTTTTTTAAACTACGTTATTTACTCTAACCAAAACACATGTGCTAAATAAACCACTAAGAAACAAGATATATTGTAACAACCATATCTTGGTGTATTTAATCAAAATAGTTAACTGATACACTACCAATGAACCCAAATGGTTGCCAATTTTATTTCCTGTGATCATATTACAAATGTCAGTTTAGTTTTACTCTGAGTTCTGAAGATAATCAGTGGAATAAATACACTTGAATTGAATTAACCATTTAATAACTACATAGTTTAATACCTCTAATTTTTTATTCCTTCGGTGATTTTATCTGTGGTGTACGTTGTGAATATGTTAGTTTTGTAATAATTTTACGTAACTTTTCGTTTGGTTTGTTCAATGTTGGATTCATACTACTCATGAATATTCAGTTTCAGTGATAATACTTTGGTGTTTCTTCAGATGTATATGTTCATATAACTTATAAGGTTATTTGAAAATAGAATATAATCCATGATAGTTGTTTACAAAATATCTAGTTCTTGGTTAAGAATATTAGAAGTCTTGTCTTTTTAGGGGAATTATCGTGGTTGGAGTGCAGTCATTTATTTGTCTGGTTTTGTTAGTGAACTATCTGTGATATTCTTGTCTATGGCTACTGTCAGCACGATTGAACTTTAAATCAGGATTAACACACTACTTGAAAGCATTCGTTTCTTCATTTAATATCGGATATTTTTCAGTAGACTCTTAAAATAGGAATATAAAACAGTCAATTAGTAATTTATTTCTTGTAAAACTCCTTGATCAACTGTTATCCGTTATCAGTTAGAACTATTGTTTCTTAGGAATGGTCCGATTATTAAACTGCTTTCAGGTATGTTTTCTAGGAAAAAGTAAGTTTTACTATATTTGTTACCATTATGTACAACTTGTGTTCTTGTGTTTTGCAGCCGATTTGGATTCAATTCATCAACATATTTGCTGAATAATCAACTAAGAGCACGATCGTTAGATCATTTAGTAACAGGATCCCCATCCTTATCGTACAGTGATAAAAATAGTAATAATGATTATAAATCTATCCAGTTTAATCAAGCGTTTGATCATGTAAAAAGCGACGAACCTGCATCATCATATCTTACCTCATTTTCCCTAACTTCATTAGTGTCTGCTATATTGCCGTTCACTACTGCTGTTCTCTCTTCATCAGTAGTATCATCATCTGATCCAAAAGGTGTCACAATCAACAATAAATTAACAAAAGCAAATACACGACTCAGTGAATCAATACATTTGCGACCGAAATGTCCATCATCATCAACAGCGGTGACTGGTCTACAAGGTTTACTTGATGTAAATAAGGAAGATGCTGATTCGTCAAAATCATTATTACATAGAACGTCAACATCAAAATCAATTGATCGTAGTGCATTATCTCCTAATAGCAATGTACCAAATTCAATTGCTCTTCCAAATCCTCAACCTCCAACATTAATTTCTCCAAGCGTTAATCGTACTGCTATTTCACATTCACGTCCTGTACGTACTAGTAACTTGACAGAAATCACTGAAGAGTCTGGTTCACCACCGAAATCAGAAAATGGTCAGAAATCATTGATATCTTCGGAAAATCAACAACAACAACAACAACAACCACCATCTGAAGTAGTAGTTGTTTCAGAAAGATCGAAAAATTCAGAATAGTAGATTCATTTAAATAATAGAGTTGTTGTTCATTAGTTGTATTATTGTCACATATATATTAAACATTTAGAACGAATTATTTAATATTATATCATTTGTGTACCAGTTCCATATGAAAATTTTAGTCTTTCATTATATATATATATATATATATATATATATACTTGTGTTTTCCCATCATGTATTTTTACTACAGTGATCCTTACCAATCACTCACACATAGAAACTTACACATTACGTTATAAAAATTACATTTGTATAAAGCAGAACACTTCTAAGAGAGAGAAAGAGAGGATAAAAAAATCGTTTATTTAACGTTATCTTTTCCATTTTTCTTCGTGTTTTTGTTCTTCACTTTAATTTTCTTATTTTGTCCAGTTTAATTAATATTGAAGGTATATTTTGTTGAGTTGATAATCTTTCATTTTCATAATTCATGTTTTTCTTCAATAGATTATTATTGCTTGCATTTGAACTATCGTTTTTTGGTTTATTTCCATTCTTTATTGTTTTCTGTCTTTGATATTATAATATTTGTTATCTATCGTATAAGACTGATAATCATTTTAGTGTAACAGAGTTATTACAAAGCATGTGAAGTAATTATCATTGATCACACTGGAAAATAAACACTTCATAAGAATATAGTTGAATTTTTTGGGCAAAAAAACATTACGTTCCACTAGTACTACTAGTTTGTTAAATTAGTAGTGTTATTTTGGTTTTATAAAAAAATTGTCGTTGCGACTGGTTGTTTTGTTGAAATTTGTCTGATTCCTCAGACATTTGTTGTGTACTTGTTTAGTTTACATTTTGTTTTTTTCCTATGACCCAGTGACATTATTTTAGCCCCACTTTTTATGGAAATAAAATAAATCATTAAAATTAAATGGTATTTGTTAATTCTATTTTGTTATCGGAGTAGTAGTTACACAAGTGATTTGTATTCCAACTATTATTACTATCTTTGTACATGGTTATTAGATGGTGCTTACGTATTGTGGTACAAATATATGAGGACCATACGCTGAATACTTCATTTGCAAATTTTCATCATTTGTCTTCCACATTTTGTATGGTTCTTCCGATCCACAATTTCTTTCTAATTCCGTCTCTGTTTTCTCTTCAACTTGGTCTTCCTAGCCCTCTGCTACCAGGGTTTCCACTTACGATTGGTGTTACATACTACTCACATCTCTCGACACAAGTAGCATACACTACATAGTTACTAAAAAAATCTGTATGAAAAGATTAATTCAAGTGGCAAACTAAAAACTAGTTCAGACAGGATGGTGAAAATTGTTTGTTGCAGTAGTTTTGTTTACTCACTTTGATTTGAAGATATTTTATCTAGTTACTCCACTGTATTAATGATTCTTTACATCTTATTATAGAAATGACACGTATGTGAAATATGTCATTTGACTAAGCTTGAAAACTGTTTCCTATTCTATCTACCTTTTATGCTATTGAGCTTTTAGTTATGTCGAATGAATCTAGGTAATTCACATAACACATCGGGATGTTCATATTCCAACCTAGACTAATCGAATTTTAGTCAGAAATATCAACTCCGGGATAATCCAAACTGCGTAAAGTGAAATTATATCATTGATGTTACTATTGTTTCAGTTCATTTACCGTTCATCTTAGTTTCATATCACCGTGATTACATAATATGACTTATTAGGGTTATACATATTTGTTCCAGGCTTTTTGTTCATTGTAAATTACTGAATTAAATTGACAACCCACTTACTGTGAGATTTATTATTGAGAAAACTGTAGTATGCACAAAAGGAGTAGTATATTTCTAAAGGAGGAAAAAGGTAGATAAATGAAGTTATTCAGGTAAACAAACCCTCTGTTGTAAGAGTAGGATTTCGCCTACTAGTCCAGAATAAGTTTAGCAGTGTACCTTTTAATTTATAAATAAATAGCTAATAAATGTAGAGCATCATTACATGTATCGTTGCGATTATAGTTGCTTTTGTTTTAAAAGTTTAACATAATATGATAAAAGAATTGTTGGACGAAATCTTGTACACAAGCTGTCTTATCAAATACTATTTTCGGTAAATCTTTGCAAAACGTCATTTTGTGTATAAGTGGAATCATCAACTACTATTATGAGAACGGTGATTGTTTAGTACAGTAAATTGAATGAACTGGTCGAAATGTCTATTCATCAAGGATCTGCATGTCAGTGGGACTTGATGATTAAGATATGCTGAAGCAGCAAAGATGTAAACGTGAATAATTGAACTTCAGTAGCAACCTACATCCGAATTCACATCATTAAGTTCATTCCTATATTGACAAATTACCATTAAAGTTTCGACTTACAAGTGAGAAATATTTAGTAAACTACAAAAGATAGACTTATTATCTATCATTTGTGAAACTCACATAACATCAAAAATTGGATCCTTCAATAAAGTTGAACAGTACTAGTCAGTGCGTGGTTCATAATAATATATTAATTAGTCCTGTTTTTCAATTTCGTTTCATTTCCTACCAATTTAGTTCTTCGTATATTCTTCATACTACTTACTAATTTTCAGTAGCTTGTATTATTATTATCTACTGAGCATGTAATTTTATTATCTACGCAATGTACCGAAGTTATTAAAGAGAAGCAACTTGCGTAATTTGTGCACGATAGATATATTTTGGTTTTTTCAATTGCTAGTACTGATATGAAATAGCTTCTTTCTCTCTTACAATCTAGTAGATGCCTATTATATATTGTATATTATCACCAGAAGTAAGCCCCTTGAAGCGTTAATAACATTTAGATTCCTCATGGTTTGAGGTTGGAATTCTGATTGATTTTGTCATTTTTTTTTATCTAACAGCACTGTTAGCCGACAAACCTCATGTTTTAATGTCGAAATTTTTCTCGTTACTCAATCGTCTGGTCAAAATCCTCAGAAGTATTCTATGAACACAATTTAATAGCAATTATGTTTTTTTTAATACATACATTTATGTGTTTGAATAACGTAGGAAAAACAGTTAATGCAGAATAACATAAATTCATTTTTATTTCGTAGTTTTTCATTCGTTGCTCACAATAGCATTAATATTGAAATATCATATGTATGTATAGCGATGGTCCTTGCCGTTTCGATTTTTCAGTCATCACTGTTCATCAACTAATATTAATTTATATTTCCTTATGAATTTCGGTTGTAAACAGCTTGTAAGAAACTATGAAATCGAAATGAAGTTTTCTTATTGTATTTCAATAGTCGTATTGTTTTTATTAACTTTCTTCTAATTTCAATTGTTCTTTTGTATTCTATAAAATAGAAGAAAATTGGATTGTTATCTTTAATTTCTACTGTTAATTAACTTTTTTCTCTTTTTTTATATTTTGAAAAACAATGTATAATAAAGCGTATCTTGTTACGGTGTTCTGATAAAACATTTAGTTGGTTTGCTAATTAACTGATAACCAATGTATCATTTCGATTTATGTTGTCAGAAAAGACGACTATTCATTTTAAAATTCAAGTCATGACTTACTTACTGGACCTGTTACCACCCTTGGAACATAGATTGCCGACCTAAGGTCTCTAAATAGCTATTTGTGAATACTTGTAATCTTTAAGTGATGTTAGTGGGGGGTTTTCGAGGTTTCAGCTCCATACAATGAACTGTTTTGACATTAGTGAAAACAGACTTTCTTGTCGAGTAACGGTTGTTTTGAGTCCGTGGTGTTTATCAGTTGTAGTAATGGATACCGTTGTCCTGTCAATGAGTACCTTCACATCTGTATCAAATCTGTATCTTAGTTTGTGGATGATGGTGTTGAGGTTTGTGAATAATTGCATGTACTGCAGAGGAGAGCTTCAGTAGCGAGTGTGACTTTATTGGTACTGGGTTGTGTGCTTTTTGTGATTGTGTGTTTTGCCTTGTTTGTGTTGAGCCCTATTTTTGTGGAATTGGTTGCTGCATTGACTGTCTTCGTTTGCATTTATTGCTGTGTATGAGACAACAGGGTAAATGTACCTGTAGAGTTCGAAGCATCTTGATGTATCGAATGCTTTCGTTGTATTTGTGTTTTTCCTGAAATGAGTAGGTTTTCACAGTCCATTCAAAAACGCAACAAAGAGTCGGGAGCCTTATCTATGACTGGTGCTCACTGGGAATGGATTAATAAGCTGGCTTCTTTGCGAAACTGTGCAATTCAGTCTCCTATAGGGGTTCCGTGTAATGGTGACGATCTTCTCAGGTACTTGATAGTGTGATTGATTTCTCAAGGTCTTCTTATCCACAGTATCGAACATGTTCACATAATCATTGGAATTTATGTATGACGATGAGTTGTATTCAATCGATTAATGAAAAATGATGTGCAGTGTCTCGATTCGATCTAGCATTACAGAAGCCAGCTTATTGATCTCAACGTTGTGTTTCTGCTTTATGTACGGTTTAGTTCAGCAGTACTATTGAACATTTGGCATGGTAGTGGTAGTAGTGTGATTCCTGTGTAGTTCTCACATTTAGGATGATCTTTCTTTGGTATCCTGATGAGGTATCCCTCTTTCCATTCTGTTTGTACTTGTTCTTCCTGACGAATCCATACCTGAATTCAGTGCCTGAGCTTGTATGTTGCCTGTTTCTGCTGCTTCCCACTCATAATTCATTTGGTAACCTTGCTAATCTCTTCGACTGTTTGTGTGGTAACATTTGTTGGGTAGTCTGTGTGCATTGTTTCGATATCCGGTGCGCTCAGTGGCTTTGGTCTATTTAGGACTACTGAAAAGTTCTCTACTAACTTTTTACGATGCTGTTGACCACCAGTGATTGGTTTGTCTTCTTTTTACGTGAGTAGTCGCTCTGATTTTTATATTTACTTACTAGCTTTTTATAAGTAGCACATCATTCTTTTACATTTCCTTCTCGTACAGCTTTTACAGGTGTAATTGTCGGGTCTTTTACATATTTTCACATACCAGCTCTAATTTTCTTCTTTAATCGTTTATTTGTTTCTGTATGTTTGACCTGTATCCTGGATTTCTTTGCACATGTTCTGTTGTTGTTGAGTTATTGCTTCTTTAATCCCTTTCCAGTTGTTGTCCATAGTTGTTTCCTCTTTTTTAGTAGAACTCCTGAGATTTGGAACTTGTTACTGAGATCTATCTTGAACTAACTGAGGTTGTCAACATTTCGACCATATGATAGTGATCTAAAGTTATATCAACTCTTCTCTTTGTTTTTACATTTTTAATGGACCTTTCGAATTATAGCTGATGGGTGCACAGCACTGGTTAACAATCATTTAAATCCTCGTATTAAAGGATGATTTGGTGTTCCTGAAGTCATGAGCTTCCCATTTTACAAGCAATTCCCGTTCTTCTTCATTTGGCATCAACCCAACTCCTTGTGTTTGGGTCATTTTATTCTTCATAACCAAAGTAGTCTTTCCTGTTCAGGTTGTATCCAAAGTATTTCAGTTATGGCAAGTAGAGTCATTCATTTGCAGCTATCCAAACGACTTTCCTGGTTTGTCACACTGCTCGGACATTCCATTCCCTTATGTTAATCTTTGCTGTGATTGTGAGTAGGGGCATCGGTTTCGTGGCTCCTAGGAACTCTCAGCTTTTACCCTGAAGCAGAATAACTCTTCCTTGTGAAAATCGTACAAATAGAGCAAATTTCGTTGATTTAATTAATATTTTCTGATTAGTAACTCTGTATAGAGGTTGTTAGCTCCCTTCTCCAACTTCTATCTTTATTCTAATTCGGTCCAGTAGGAGTCTTAGATTAGCTCCAAACTGAGTTAGTAGTCTGAAACGCTTTCATCTCAAATTAAGAATTTCTAATTTTAAGTTCTCTTTTAATTACCAAGGTTTTTTTAAAATATTTTCTCTCTCATGTTGAAACATTATTTGGCTTTTGCTGAATTTCTTTAGGAAATCAAATAGTATAACATATAACAAACTTGACGCTTTTAAAATAATGACGAGTTTTTTAAAAAACCTCAAAGCATGATGAATATTCTCATGAGCATAGAGAATACTCTGGATACCATATTATTCAAGTGATTATAAATTTTATTTGGTA